TGTTTTGTTTTCCTTGTAATGTCTTTCATCATTTGGAAAGAATTCTCTCTTTCTAAATTTTCTGGAAGAATTTGTGTAGAATTGGTATGGTTTTTTTTTTTGTTTTTGTTCCTTTAATGTTAGGGCAAATTCACCAGTAAAGCCATCAGGACCTGGGCTTTTCTTTGTGGGAAGTTTTTAAATTACTAATTCAATCTCTACTTTTTGTAGGTCTGGTCAGATTTTCTGTTCCCTCTTAAGTCAGTTTCAGTGGTTTTTGTCTTTTCAGGAATTTGCCCATTTAATCTGAGTTTTCTTATTCATTGGTATATAGTTGTTCATAGTATCCCCTATGATCCTTTTTATTTCTGAAAAATTGCTAGTAATGTTCCCTCTTTTATTCCTAATTTTAGTAATTTGAGTCTTCTCTCTTTTTTTCTTGGTTAGTCTAGCTAAAAGTTTATCAATTTTGTTGATCTTTTCAAAGAATCAGCTTTTGGTTCTGTTGTTTTCCCTTTTGTTTTTCTGTTCTTTACTTCATTGAGTTTTTGCTGTCCTCTTTATTTCCTTGATTCTGCTTGCTTTGGATTTAGTTTCTTTTTTGATGGAACGTTAGGTCATTGTCTTGAGATTGTTCTTTTTTCTGTTATGGCCCTTTACAGCTGTAAATTTTTTTTTCTTTTTTTTTTTCAAGATTTTATTTATTTGACAGAGAAAGACACAGTGAAAGAGGGAACACAAGTAGGGGGAGTGGGAGAGGGAGAAGCTGGCTTCCCGCCAAGCAGGGAGCCCGATGTGGGGCTCCATCCCAGGACCCTGGGACCACGACCTGAGTCAAAGTCAGACGCTTAAAACGACTGAGCCACCCAGGCGCCCCTACAGCTGTAAATTTTCACTTAAACACTACTTTAGCTTTATCCTTACATGAATTTTGCTGTGCCGTGTCTTCATTTTTATTCATCCAAAAGTATTTTCCAATTTCCCTTAAGATCTTTGTTGACCCAATGGTTATTTTGGATTGTGTTGTTTAATTTCCACCTAACCAAATTTTCCAGATTTTTTTTCTGTTGACTCCATTGTGGTCAGAGAACATACTTTGTATGATTTCAGTCCTTTAAAATTTACTGAGGCTTGTTTTATGACCTAGTGTGTATGATCTATCCTGGAGAATATTTCATGTGTATTTGAGAAGAATGTACATTCTATTGTTGGGTACAGTGTTCTGTTGATGTCTGTTAGGTTTAGTTGATTTATGGTATTGCTTCAGTACCATACCAAAGTGGTACCATACCAAATGTGGTTGTTACTGGCCTTGCTATTCTCACCAGGGCCTTTGCATTTGTTGTTCCTTCAGCCTGGAACATTCTTCCCCTAGGCAAAACAGGATTTTTTCCCTCAATTTAGTCTCATTTCTCCACATATGTCATCTTATCAGAAAGGCCTTTCCTGACAAGCTTTCCACCCAAATATGTTTCCTATCTTTTCATTCTCCTTTATTTTTTACCTATAGAACATGCCACTACATAAAAGCTCATAGTACATATATTTGTTTCTCCCACTCACTCCCTTATTCACTGCTCTGTCACCTAGTAGGTACTCAGAAATTGTCAATCAAGTATGTGGATATGGAAATCTGGAAATAAAAGCAGAAGTTTTGATTGGAAATAAATATTTGAGAGTCATCTGTATAGAGGGAAAATCTGAATTCACAGGTAGAAAAAATCATGTAAGGCAAAAGTGAGGGGATAAAAAAGGGCCAGGACCTAACCCTGATGAATCCAACATCTATTAGAGGTTTGGTAGATGAGGAGGCCCAACAAAGAAGACTGAGAAGGAGCAACAGAGAGGTAGAATCATCATGGTTCTTTTAGTTAAGGGGTTGCCTGTACTAGCACTAAACTAAACTAGGAGGTGCCACTGAAGCCAAGGAAGAAGGCAGTAGCCAACTCAGTGGACGCCACTATGAAGTTCAGAAAAATAGATGTCTAAAGAAGTGACTGTCAGATATGGTGACATGAAATGAAGATCATTGAGAACCTTGACAAGAGCGGTAGAGTGGTACAAACAGAAGCAAGTCTGTGTGTGTTGAAGAGTGTGTAGGCCATGAGGCAATGGTGATGTCTCCTCAGTTTACAAAACAATGATTATTTATTTAAACCTTTTTATAAAATCTGCAGGTAGAACTGAGCTTCGCAAGTTTCCTTTTCTTCTTCCTGGCCTTTTCAATGCTTAAAACTCCCAGATATTGAAAGCGTTGATTGAGTCCTTAAAGAAGGAAAGTCTCTAATGGGTAGATGTTGAATGCAATCTAAGCCAGCTGGTCCTGGGTTCCCCCCCCCACCCCAGCTTCTGAGAACTGGGAAACTTGTGACTAGACAAAGCTACAGTATCTTCACTATCATCATCCCTTCATGACCAAACACGTATGCTCTTTGCAGTAAGTTGCCATTTGTTTTTATATAAATGTTTTGGAAAGAATCTGTCAGAACAGTAGTGGCTGTTTCTGTTTGTTAAAGTAGTTTTCTCCTATCATTTATTTCTGGATTCTTGCCTTTAGACCATATGAAACCCATAAAGATGTTTATCAGCTTCATTATCACCATGATAATAGCTACCAGAAACCTAAAGCGTTGATGCAAGAGAACAGAGATTTGAGAAATAGACTCATGCGTATATGGTCAGTTGATAATTAGACCAAGATACAAAGCAATTAAATGGAGAAAACAGTCTTTTTCAACAAATTGTGCTGGAGCAATTGAAAATCTATATGAAAAACAAAAACCTCAATCCATACCTTATACCTTATATAGAAATTAGTACAAAATGGATATAATAGACCTGAATATGAATTTTAAAACTATAAAACATCTGAAGAACAAAACATAGGAGAAAATTTCTGTGACTGTGGGTTAGATAAAGATCTGTTAGATATAATACTAAAAAATGGAAATGTTTTCCTTAGTAGCTAATTCATTCGAGACTCTTTACAATGAGCCCTTAGAGGTGCCTGGATGGCTCAGTTGGTTGAGTGTCTGACTCTTGATTTTGGCTCAGGTCGTGATCTCAGGGTCATGAGGTCCAGCCCGGGATTGAGCCCTGCAGCCAGCTCCTCACTCAGCGGGGAGTCTGCTTGTGATTCTCTCTCTCCCTTTCCCTCTGACCCTCCCCCCAGCTAAAATAATAAATAAATCTTTTAAAAAATAATAAAATAAAATACAATGAGCCCTTAGCTTAGTAATTTGGTGTGTTCTAGAGCAGCTCTTTTGGTTAAGAAAAACAAAGTTTGAACTAAGGACATCAAATTTGAAATTCTGATCTGGCTTCTTCCTGCCTTCTTCTCAGGGCAAAATTGAAGTTATATGAAGGGAAGTCTGTCAAGAAGTCCGGCTAGCCTGTTCCTCAATCTTTCACTGCATCTCTTCTGCCACTGTAACTTTGGTTCATCCATGCATTCATCATTGGCATCATGGCTTTGACTCTATCTTTTAGCTTTTCCTTTTAAGTTTTGGCTTCTGTTGCTGCCTAATTATTTTGCCATTTTCTAAGTTAGATTCCCAGGAGAGAGAACTTAATTGGCCCAGATTATTTTTACATGTTCTAGGCTACTAAATGGATATGTCGAAACAGCACTCTGGGCCAGTCAGTGGCTCTGGGTAGGGTTGTGGGGACATAGGGAGTTGACTGGCAGGGATCTAAGGGGACAGGTAGGTGTAAAATATTGGTATATAAAAGGTGAACTATACCTTCAGCTGGTACCAGGAACAATGGAGTTTCCCTTAGATGGGACCACAGATGTGACAAACACTGTAATAGATACAGTTATTATAAAGTAAAATATTGGTGTTTTTATTGTATTCTCCCAGAAACCATTGACCATCTACTTGTTTTCTAGTTGTGGCTCTGTTATTATCTAGCCCCCCTTCTAAATCAATCCATAGTAGTTAGCAAGGTGAGTGTATAAAGTAGGAACTTCTGCCTTTCGTGTAGGGCAGAGGTAGAAGGTATCTGGGAATAGAGAATAAGAATCTTGGATTAGTTGAAGGGTCTCTGACTGGCTCAGTCAATAGAGCATGGGACTCTTGATCTCAGGGTCATGAGTTCAAGCCCCACGTTGGATATAGAGATAACTAAAATTAAAATTAAAAAAAAGAATCTTAGGTTAGTTGGAAGTTGTTATCAGAGGTCATTTACTATATCTCCCTGCCTCTGTTTATAACACTCAAATCATGGCTTTCAGGGAGACAGTAGTCCCTCTTTTTGCACTTTAGTCTGAGTAACTTCCAAGGCCAGTTCTTTATGGTATTTAATCCATTTTTTCCTGATGGGCTTCATAATATCAATCCCAAAATGTTCATCCTGATACTGGATTCTGGTGTTCCCTTTTCCCTTGCATGATGCTTATTTTGTATTTTCCCATTAACAACCTGCTTTATAAGAAAGCTGAGTTACTTTTTTTCCTTTCTCCTTCAAAGAAACTACTACCCCAAAAAAGTGACACATACTCTTGCTGCTTAGTATTTTTTTACAAAGTAGGCTGACCTTTTTGGTTTGTCATCTTCAATTTTGTTGGGGTCCTTAAATCTTGATTGTTAGAGTCTTAGGATCCCATAGAGAAACTGTGGGATTAGGTTTGTTTGTTTGGTTTTCACTTGACTGGAGGAACTGAGCTTGCATTTGCTTTCTCCTACAAGAATTGGTACATATAAGATGGTTAGGTGGTGAATTTGGTTTGGCTAGATTTAATACATCTTGTGGAGATGGAATAGGATGCACTCTGAGGAGAAAGATGTTAATGAGGAGGGGAAGAGTGGTTGCTTACCTAGGGTTTTGCCTATCAAACTTGATTGTTGCTAGAAATCACTGGTGCTTGCTAAAATGCAGATGTTAAATCAGTAGGTCTGGGGTGAGGCTCAACATCTAGGATTCTTCATTTCCAACAAGTTTGCAGGAGATGTTCATGCTGCTGGCATGCAGACACACTTAGAGGAATAAGAACATATGGGGTTGATATTCCCATACAGGCATCTCTGAATAGAAGCTCCTTGTATCGCTCCCCTTCATTGCCAGAGAATTTGAACAGGCCAAGACTGAAGCGGGTGGTAAAATTCAAGGACAACCCAGTACCAGATAAAGAAAAAAAGGAGTATTGTTCTAGCCACAAAGAGCTCAGGAAGGTAAGAACTTTTTAAGATGAGAATCTATTTAATCTTCTATCTCATTGTGTTCTCTGCTTTTTTGTTATGAGGATTGCTTTAGGATATCTTGTCTTCTTTCTCATTACTTTTACTTTTATCTCCTTGTTCTTTATGTCTTTCTTGTCTTTTTTACATCTGTACCCATATATAAAATATTTAACAATAAATATCTGTTATATTACACTTTTGGAAATGGTGTTGGCATACTGTCTTCCCAACCTTCTTTTATAAGATTTGAGAGGACACAAGGACACCAGGAATGGTAAGGATATTTACAGCTGTTTTACCTGCATTCTGACAGAAACAGCATCAGGGAGCATACTGGTTTGGTGGGAGGCAACTTTTGAAAAATTTAGCTGTCATTCCCTACCCCTCCTTTAAAAAAAAAATCTGAATACTATTTTATAAAATCAGCATATGATAGTATAGAATTTATACATAAACAAAAGAAGCTATTGTGAAATGCCCATAATCCCATAGGCCAGAGATAATTATCGTCAACACTTGGTGTATGTTTTTCTAAACTCTTTGATGCAGACTTTTTTCTTTTATTAAAGTGATATTACAAAGTATGAGTTTTCTCACTTTCTTAAGGATATCATGAACTTATTTTCATGTCAATGAAATTAATCTACAACATAACTTTTTATTGCATAATAGTAATCTATAATGTGAAATATGATCTGTTTAACCAAGACTGTTATTTATTAGTAATCTTTCTCTATTATAAACTTGCTGGGATATTCATTTTTACAGCCAAATCTTTGTGCATTTTTTTTTTCCAAAGGGTGTGTGTATTTTTAATAAGTCTCCACTCCTTCCTCTCCTGGGTTTTAAACCTTTAACATGAGAATTGGCGGTGGGGGGCATCTTGTCATCCTCAGGGCTTAGGTCTAAAGAAGACAGTCTCTCTCTGTGACATTAATATCACTCAGATGCTGGAGGAAGATTCTAACCAGGGCTCTCTGATTGGTGATTTCTCCAAGGTGAGTTTGGTTATATTCATCTTATATTCCACTGAGTCATTTTGGATCTGAGTCTTTTTTTCTTTGCTTGAAGAAGACACTAGGTATAATTATGCATCCTCACCAAGGACTATTTGATAAACTGAAGATGCTATGGTGGTAGATTTAGACCCTAAGCCTTTCCAGTGAGAAAGTATTTCTTATTCATTCTGGGAAAATGCAGAGCACTGGGGAAGGTATGAGGCTTTTTACTTTTTTCTTTTTTTTAAATTAAAATTATGTAAATAATACTTGGTCATTACAGAAAAAGTAGAAAATGAAATATACCTCAAGTCTTTTAAAAATATTATTGCTTTTAACATCTTGGTACATATTCCTCCAGACTTTTTTCTATGTATTTTCACAAACACACATGCACATAACCAAATACATTTTTTTGTTCTTTCACAAAAAAATGATTTATACTGTTTTGTGATCCACTGTTTTTTTTCCCCCATCATTTAATGTATCAGGAACATCTTTCATGTCAATAAACAGTTCTGCTTCACCATTTCATAATTTTTAATAGTACAGTATTTCATTTTTTTGGCTGCCCATAATTTTTTTAAAAAATTTTTTACATTTTTTATTTTTAAATAATCTCCACACCCATTCTGGGGCTTTAACTCACAACCCCACAATCAGGAGTTGAGCATGCTATACCAGCTGAGCCAGCCAGGCACCCCTGCTCATAATTTCTTGTAGGATATTTACGTTTACAATTTTTCCTTATGAACAATACCAAGATGGGCATATTTGCAGCTAAATCTAAAACTTTGTGTGAGTCCTTAATTCATTACTTAGAATCACTTCTTAGAAATGGAATTGCTGCATTTGCTCATTATAGAGACCATTGATTCTTTTGAAGGCATCTGGGGTTTTATTTTTTATTTTTAATTTTTTATTTTTTTGAGCGAGAGAGAGAGAGCAGGGGCCAGGGTGGTGGAAGAGGGAGAGAAAGAATCTTAAGCAGGCTTCATGCCCAGTGCAGAGCCCATCACGGGGCTCAATATCACAACCCTGAGATCGTGACCTGAGCTGAAATGAAGAGTCAAAAACTCAACCCAGGCCCACCCCACATGGAGTTTTAAAAGGTCATTTGGAAAGAAGGGCAATATATAGGTCTTTGATCTCAAACTGGGGTGTAGAAAACTTGCTGTTATTTCAGTTCTTGGGTATTTCTAGGTATGTGTGCTGCCAACCGTGTCAGGGAGACACCAGGATCTGAAGTACGTCAACCCAGAAACAGTAAGCAGATTTCTGGAGATGGTACCTGGTTACATAAGGTACCATCTGTTCTGTTCCGTCCCTAAAATCCCCGCTTCCATTGTACTTCACTGTGTCCACTCACATAGGCTCCTCATTCAGCTGAAGCTGTGTTAAAGAACTCCCATTTATCCCATTCTTTTGCCTTTGTTTTTAATTAAACAAATGATAGATAATTGTTATGGAAGAAAGCAAGCAAGGAAAGAAGGGAGGGAAGGAAAATAGTCAAAATCACTCAGTTTGGGCGATCTCACATCCTGATTTAGTATTACAATCCCATTGACACCTTTCAGCGCATGGTAATTATTAATAGTATTCTCTTTCACTCTCAAAAGTGTCCTAGTTTGTGCAATAATTATTTGGTCCCCTACCCATAATCTCACCACCAGAGATAACCACTGGTAATATTTTCCTTATGGCCTTCCAGATTTTATTCTGGAATATATTTGATAAAAATAGGATTATAATGACCATGTAGTGTTGAAGTTAGCAAGACATTGTAAACATCTTTCTACCTCAGTGAAACAAATCTATATTATCCTTCTAATGACTATATAATATTCTATTATATTGGCGTGTATAATTTAACCAAACCCCTATTTTTGATTTTTTTTTTTTAAGATTTTATTTATTTGACAGAGAGAGAGATAGCGAGAGCAGGAACACAAGCAGGGGGAGTGGGAGAGGGAGAAACAGGCTTCCTGCCGAGCAGGGAGCCCGATGTGGGACTCGATCCCAGGACCCTGGGATCATGACCTGAGCTGAAGGCAGACGCTTAATGACTGAGCCACCCAGGTGCCCCTTTATTTTTGAATATTTAAGTTATTTGTAACTTTAAATTATTGGATAACTTAAGCTAACTAATATTTAAGTTATTTGATAACCTAAAATAATGGCTAAGGTGAATATTATTGTGCCACATCTTTGTGTACTTTTCTGTTCACTAAAGATGTTGGGAAAGAAATTGCTGAGTCAAAGTGTAATTACATTTACATTACAAAGTTCGCCCCAGAAAGGTTAAATCAATGTATACTCCTACAAGTAGCTTAAGGATATCAACCCTTTCCTTCCATATCCTTTTCTGAAAGACTTGTTTTCTTCCTTTATGATGGAACCATTTCCCATTTCTTCTTGCAAAGTTGGAATCGCTTGCTGCTACCTGTACTACTACAGAAGTCCTTGGGTGTCTTTTGAGAGGCTGATTGTAGCCATGCCTGCCTCCAGATGAGTGCCTTGAATATGCTTTTACCTGGTGTCTTCGCAATACCAGCTATTTTGGTGCTCCAAAAAGACCATTTCATATTTTATCCTCTTGAATGAGCAGTAGGGATGAATCATTGCCCCATTTCAAATATAGGGGACCTTTGGAGACTGGGCATACAGTGGAATCCTGGGTGACCAAAGGGAGTACAAATCAGGAATTGTGTGATTGACTCTTATCTCCCAGAGTGATAGGGAATGTTTCTGTGTAGGTGGCTGCCTTACTGTCAGGGAAGTTCCAGAGTCTGATTGAGAAGTTTTATATCATCGATTGCCGCTATCCATATGAATACCTGGGAGGACACATCCAGGTGAGGTTACATTGGGGACATTAGAGGGGAGGGGCTGGAGGTAGCTCTTTAATGAGAAGAGTCTGTGGACAAAAGTCCTATGAACTCCAGAACCAAGGCAGAGGTTCTACTTTTGGAGCACATCAAGGCTGCCAGTCCTCATTCCTGTTCTAATTCTGTATACCTTGGGCAATTTATTTTCCCTTTCCCTCCTAGACCAATCTCCCTTTATTCCGTTGGAGCCAAGGGCTCCTACTTGGAAATAAAATATTAATCCAAAGACTGAGAAGCACTTTGCAGACACTCATAGACATTCTTACAATGATTCCTACAGATTTAAGGGGGGGTCAGATCTACAAACATTTATTGAGTACCTACTACATGCCAAGCTCATGGTAGACCTTGGGGATAGACACAGAGATATAATTAGATCTTATGCCCTGAAAGTGCTTACAGTCTAGACTTCCTGGCCCAAATATCCCAAGATGGTATCCCAGTTATTTCTAAGTGTTGGAACTATCCACAGCCCCTTAAGAAAATACTGAAATTTTTCTACAGGGAGCCTTAAACTTGTACAGTCAGGAAGAACTGTATGACTTCTTTCTGAAGAAGCCCATTGTCCCTTTGGACACCCGGAAAAGAATAATCATCATATTCCACTGTGAATTCTCCTCAGAGAGGGGTCCCCGAATGTGAGTGTCTACATGGGTTTGGGTGGGTGTTAGAAATGGCCCTTGAATTGGGACTTAAAACCAGAGAACCTTCCCAGACCAGTTCAGACAGAGGCTGGAATGAATGAATGCATTCTTTCCATTGTAGTTTAAAGGTTAGGGAGGTAGAAAGAAAGGTTTCCACAATTTAAAAGTTTAGAGCAGTGAAGGAAAAAGGATTGGGAATGAGGAGGAGAAAGAGTGACTGCTTGAGTCTTGTTTTGCAAAGACAGATCTGGAGGTCCTTTTGGGTTACCCATAGTCTTTTTTTCTTCTTTCCCCTCTCCAGTGAATGGCACATGGAATCCTGACCTTGCTTCTTTCCACCCACCCACCTCTGGGTTTTTTTTAAAGGTGCCGCTCTCTGAGAGAAGAGGACAGGGCTCTGAACCAGTATCCTGCATTGTACTACCCAGAACTATATATCCTCAAAGGGGGCTACAAAGACTTCTTTCCAGAATATACGGTAAAGGATGGGGCACATGGGGCAACAGGAGAGCTCAGGTTTGGGGGGAGCCATCATGAGCATGCAACTTCCACGGCCTGCAAAGCCCTCTGAGAGGAAACTCCTCCTTCTTAGCTACCACCAGCAGCATCTCTATTATACCTCGTAGGAAGTTCTGGAGACTAGAGTATCCCTTACTTTGTCCCCTACCTTTCAGGAGCTGTGTGAACCACAGAGCTACTGCCCTATGCATCATCAAGACCATAAGGCTGAGCTGCTGAGGTGTCAAAGCCAGAGCAAAGCATGGGAAGGAGAGCGGCAGCTGCAGGAGCAGATTGCCTTACTGGTGAAGGATGTGAGCCCATGATAGTGGGTCAGTGGTTGGCTGTCTAGGAGTCACCAAAAGACACTGTAGAAATGCTGACCAGAAAGAGGCCATGTTGTATGTGGCTAAACCCAAGATTGTTAAAAGATGTCTGCAAACCAACAAGCTGCCAAGCTAATGAAATTCCAGGCCTGGGTGTTGGTTTTAGCAGAGCTGCTGGCTGGTGACTGAGTCCTGGAGCCAGCTCTAGAAGGCTGTAGCCTTGAGTTATATGGCGATTTGTTGCTTCAGGAAGTGTTTGCATTCTCTTCCCATTTAGACTTGTCTTCCCACAAGCCAGCCAGCGCTTTCCCTGGTCTTCTGCCTGTGCCCATCTTCTTTCTCTGTACTTGCCTTCTTTGTTTCCTTCTCTCTTTTCCTTAAATGGGAAAATAAACACTGCAGAATGAGAGATTTGATTGTGAGCCCAGTCTACTCCTAGAAGATCTTTGTAAGAAAGAGATCACCGGGCGCCTGGGTGGCTCAGATGGTTAAGCGTCTGCCTTCGGCTCAGGTCATGATGCCGGAGTCCTGGGATGGAGCCCCACATCGGGCTCCTGGCTCAGCGTGGAGCCTGCCTCTGCCTCTCCCCCTGCTCATGCTCTCTCTCTCTCTCTCTGTATCTCTGTGTCTGAAATGAATAAATAAAATCTTAAAAAAAAAAAAAAAAGAAAGAGATCACCAAATTAGTCTCCTTCAGACAAAGGTGTAACAATCTTGATTTATAGCTGAGGCCGAGGTGCTTCTCTCTAGACCAGTGGTTCTCGGATTTGGGCCCTGGACCATAGGGATCATCTGAACTTTGAAATGTAAATTTTCAGGCCTCACAGCAGACCCACTAAATCAAAACCTCTGAGGGCTCCGGATTTGGGGTTTTAAGTTTTTTCCCTTTCAGGTGATTCTGATGCATGCTGAGGCTTGAAAACCACTGCTCTGGAATTAAGGAAAAGCTTTTTTTCTTCTTTTTTCTTTTTTTTTTTTTTTTAGCGAGGGGTGGGGTAGGGGGGAGAGGGAGAGAGAGAAAGAATCTCCCTGCCCAGCTCAGAGCCCGAGGCAGGGCTCACTTAACCAACTGAGCCACCCAGGCGCCCCTTAAGGAAAACCTTTCAAGTTGTATTCTTTAGCAATATCTCAGCTTTCCTTTCCTGGACCATTCCAAGTATGCGTTACCTTAAAAGTGTGCCCCACACTCAGCACTCTGTGATAACTAGGCACAGAAAACCAAGGTGATTGGCATCTCTAAATCAGGTTATAGGTGAGTTGGGCTTTAAAAGATTGCTTATCTACAACCTCAATGGAATTTTGACTTTTCCCATTTCCCAGCTCTTTCCTTGACTTCATTTTACATCTCACAGAGATGACTTGGGATAGTTGGAAGCAGAGATATGTTCTGTCTGAAGATAGGAATAAAAGGATAGAAAAGTAGCAAACAGGGCGCCTGGGTGGCTCAGTTGGTTAAGCGACTGCCTTCGGCTCAGGTCATGATCCTGGAGTCCCAGGATCGAGTCCCACATCGGGCTTCCTGCTCAGCGGGAAGTCTGCTTCTCCCTCTGACCCTCCCCCCTCTCATGTACTCTCTCTCTCTCATTCTCTCTCTCTCAAAATAAATAAATAAATCTTTAAAAAAAAAAAAAGAAAAGAAAAGTAGCAAACAAGAGCTGTTAGACTTAAGGAAGACCTTTAATTTACTTGTTTTTTTTTTAGGAAGACCTTTTAAAGTACATTCTTCAGCACTATCCCATGCTTTCCGTTCTTAGAGCTCTTAAGGCAAGTAGGTTTTCGTCTTCGTAGTGAGATACAGCCGTATGGCCTGCGGTGGCAGTGGAATTGACTAAACGTCACTCTCCCACACTAACCTAGTGGGAGTGCTAGCCCAGGACTAGAAAAGGACAAAGATCTCTGAAGCCTGGATGAGACAGAATAGAGACAAAAGTGACCTCTTCCCGAGTTCTGGAGCAGGGAGACCTTTTTTCAGTGAGTGGGAGGGAAGAAGGGCTGTTAGTGGACTGATGTTTGGAAGGTTGGCCAGGGCTCTTCTCCGGGAGTGCCATGCGTGTGCCTCCCAGCAGAGGGCACTCCTGCATTCTTTAACACAGCTTCTGGGGCCCGCAGCCTCCACCGCCTGCTCTTGCCTCTGTCCAGAGGGAAGCTACCTGGCCTTCTCCCTGAGCCCTTGAACTCAGAGCGAAAGGAGCAAAAAGCTGTTTCCACAGTAGGTGCAGATGGCTGAGGGGGAGATGCTACTCCTCTGTCCCACCCCCACATACTTAACCTGCCAAGCATGTACTCCTGGTGGCCTGAGGAGGAAAATGTTTGAAGCACCTCCACCTCCAGGTATGAGGAGGGGGTCCCTGGATTCACTGCCTAACCTAGTGGGTCATTTCCTGATCATTCTCTCCAGAAAAGTAGAACCAACCCCCACCCCCAAAGAAGAGACTGGTACACATGTTCACATTTCAGTAATCTTAAGTGGAAATTCTGAGTTGCAAAACAAAAACTAGGGCTTAATTAGTTTATCTATTTTGTGAAAAAAATTGTATTTGCCTAAAAGGCACCATTTGCCTATATAATTTCTTATACTATCCTCCCATTGCATAGGTGCCATGCAATTTGATTCATGTTATTTTTAGGAATAATAATAGTAGCTAATGGGCGCCTGCGTGGCTCAGTTGGTTAAGCAACTGCCTTTGGCTCAGGTCATGATCCCGGAGTCCTGGGATCGAGTCCCACATCAGGTTCCCGGCTCGGCGGGGACCCTGCTTCTCTCTCTGACCCTCTCCCCTCTCATGCTGTCTCTCTCTCTCTCTCTCTCTCTCAAATAAATAAATAAATAAAATCTTTAAAAAAAAATAATAGTAGCTAACATTTTTCAGGGCTTACTATATGCAAGACTTTTTATGAACTCATTTTATATATACAAACTAATTTTCACAACAATTCTATGAGGCAGGTACTTATTATTTTGCACATTTTACAGATACAGGTATTGAGACACAGAGGGATTAAGTAGCTTGTGTAAGATCACACAGCTAATGAACGGTGGAGTTGGGGTTCGAACCTAGACAGTATGGCTCCAGTGTCCATACCCTGAATGGATTTGCTGTTACCAAATCCTCATCAAAGAACAGTGTGCCTTTCTAGAGTTGACACCGTATTAGACTTTAAATATGTAAGATCCTCAATTATAGATTCTTAAGAAGTCAGGGCTGTAAGGGTTGCTTGGGCTTGGCAGATGAGGCTAAGGGTTAAGACCCCAGACCGGAGGGGCGCCTGGGTTGCTCAGTCGTTAAGCGTCTGCCTTCGGCTCAGGTCATGATCCCGGGGTCCTGGGATCGAGCTCCACATCGGGCTCCCTGCTCAGCGGGGAGCCTGCTCCTCCCTCTCCCACTCCCCCTGCTGTGTTCCCTCTCTCAAAGTGTCTCTCTCTGTCAAAGCAATAAAATCTTAAAAAAAAAAAAAAGACCCCAGGCCAGAGACCTTGGCATGAGGCATAAAGCGGGTTAGCTCTACACTAACACTGACTGTATTTGTTCATCATAAAGTCAAGAAATGAAGATTGGAAACCGTTCTTTCTAAAAACATGGTTTTCAGTCTTAGTCCAGGACTTGGCTGACCTCTGCCATAGAGAAGGGAGGAGCATTTTCCTTTCCTCATTAGGAGTATAAAGTGGGAAGAGGTATGGAGGATTCCCTTTCCCCATTCAGTTCAGGCAAATGTTGAGGAAACATCAATTCCTTTAAACATATATCTGGGGTTCTCAATTCTAAGTACCACAGGTATTCAATTATGAAACTGTCCCTTCCCTCAAAAGACTGGCAAGGTAGAGAATGATTCCCTTTTTTCCCATCCCTATATGCAGTCTGGCCCACTAAGCAAAAGAAAGAAGTACTGTAGCCTCCAGCTCCAAAGCAGCAAGTCTGGTGGTGGTGGCAGGCCAAGTTCACAGAAAAATTAACTCCTGCACGCTACCTGGAATGATAGCATTTATTCAATGCGTGCTCTGTGCCAGGCACTATGCTAAACTCTTTACTCAATATACTTAATATAATCCTCACAACTGTCATATGAAGTAGATACTGTTATTAATTTTACTCATGAAGAAACTGAAGCACAGAAAAATTAAGTGCTGTGCCCAAGGTCATCTAGCCTTTGTTGGAAATGGCAGTTGAATCCAGACAGTCTATAAAGCTTGTGTTCTTTTTTTTTTTTAAGATTTTATTTATTTATTTGACAGAGAGACGGTGAGAGAGGAAACACAAGCAGGTGGAGTAGGAGAGGGAGAAGCAAGCCTCCTGCGGAGCAGGGAGCCCAGCGTGGGGCTCGATCCCACGACCCTGGGATCATGACCTGAGCCGAAGGCAGACGCTTAATGGCTGAGCCACCCAGGCGCCCCAAAGCTTGTGTTCTTAACTATTCAGCACACTGCTAACATCCTAGGTGAGGGTATCAGCAGGAATTAAAGCTTCCAGTGAGAGAGGGCTTGATAGAAGGCAGAAAACCATGATTACAAATGAAGTGGAGTAGGATACAAGGTTTTTAGACTGTCGAGCCCAATCAGTGGATTGCAAAGTCTCCCAGGGCAGGGTTTGTCTCTTAATCATTTTTGCACCTGGTTCAAAGTTGAACCCATAATCAGTCTCAAAAGACCTTATTGAATTGAATGACGGCCGAATAGCATCATCTTTGTAGAAGGGACAGGCTCATTTGTCATTATCCACAAGGTTCCCAAAGACAAGGCTGCTTATCTAGCAGGTGTTGGCAGTCACAGGGGACATGGTTGGTGGGGAGAGGGTGTGCTGGAAGAGCTGTCAATATAAGTGTTGGAGTCATAGTTATTTACAGAGGCTTCCTCATCCTTCCCCTACCTTTGGTTTCCAGTCATCATCCAAGGTTCAGTGATGTCAGGCTTTCTACTCCAGTGCCCAGATAGAAAGACGCTCCAGCATCTCATTCTCACAAAAAGGCTGGCCTGTTACAGGTGGAATTGAGCATTCCTCTCAGCCTAGCAGTTTGACTTCGTTCCTGCCTTCCTGGTCCATTCCATGGGGATGTCACTGAACAGACACTTAGAGCATACATCCTGAACACATGCCTTTTCCCAGCCTATCCTCCCACCCAAACTTGATTGGGCTTGGCTGCTGAAAGAGGGGGAGAGCAAAGGTGATACCTCTTAACTACCCCCACCTCAACCTCTGTTGATTCGTAGGTCTCTCAGCTGTTTCCTAGCATCCCAACCATCTGAAATGGTTACCATTTTGGGCGCCTGGATGGCACAGGTGGTTAGGCGTCTGACTCTTAGTTTTGGCTCGGGGCTGATCTCAGTGCTGTGAGATCAAGTCCCGAGTCGGGCTCCATGCTCACTGAGTCTGCTTGAGTTTCTCCCCCTGCCACCCTGCCATGCGTTCTCTCTCTCTCTCTCTCAAATAAATAAATAAAATTTTGAAATTGTTTCCCTTTGCTTTTTTTTTTTTTTTAAAGATTTTATTCATTTATGTGTGTGAGAGAGAGCAGAAGCAGGGGGAGCAGCAG